CCATATTTGCAATGTATGTAGCGTTTGTTTATTTCTGTCTGTAGGTGTGAACCAGATTACGCAAAGCAGAACTGACATGAATATCAATGCTGACTGGAAATCTGATTCCAACAGGCTTTTCTCAAATCCAAGTTTGTAAATGACACAGAAACAGCCTAGACTTCAGTAACTATAATAATTTGCACATTGCAAAGCTACCAAACAAGTAAAGGTGAATATTTTACATGGTTTTGAAATAAAATCTTTGGAAAAACCTAGAGGAAAACTATATTATCTTGAGTGCTAATCACAAACTGCTTCTGAATTTCTTTCACAATAACGTTAAGTAGAATCACCAAAAAAAAAAAAAAAACAATGAGTAGCCTTACTGCTCCTGATTACGAAGATCCATATACTCTTTCTCAAGTTCTTCCATTTCAGCATGATTATGTTTATTATTGTGTTCATAATCATCATCCTCGTTCTCTTCCTCCTCATTTGATCTGCTATCTTCTCCTTCTTCCTCCTCTTCATTATCTTCACCATCATCATTATCATCGCTGATATCCCCGTTGTCTTCATCCTCATCATCCTCTTTTCCGTCATCATGATAATGAGAATCATCGTCATCCTCTTCATTCATCTACAATACATGCCCTCAGTGCTCAAAGTCATGAAGGGAAAAGTACGCCTACGCAAAATACTACTCACCGTTAGTTTCTCACTTTCCAAGTCACTCAAGTCTTCTGAGTCAAGACTGCTGACTCTTGCCTTTTTTGATTTCTTTGCGGACAACTTCATTTTGAAACCCTGAGAATAAAAGGTCCTGGTATCAATCACCTAGTTTTGGTAAATAAGCAAACTAAGCACTACAGTTTCTTTTATATTTAAGTCCCAGTCTTAGGCACTTATTCTTCCGAAAACCCAGACACATATAGAACTTTCGATATGTAGATACACTGACTAAAATTTGAAGAATACAAGTAAGATCTATAAGCAAAGTCATAAAGCAGAGATTAAGTCGAGATTCAAATTGAGAACACAAATTTAACTTAATGAAAAGTGATTATAAATCAATCCAACAACAATGTCCTCCTCATGTCTTCATGTCTTGTTACCTTGTTTTTCCCCTTGTACATGGGTGGCACCCCCTTAGTATCACTATTATAATACATTTCATTTTTCCTTCAAAAAAAAAGTCCTCATGTCCATTTATAAACAACTAAGAAAGCATATAGTTCAGCATATTTTATTTGGTCAACGTGAGTTTAGAAGTTCTTTAATAGAGTTTTGAATTTTGTTAGAACTTGCAAGTTAGATAGCAAATAATCTATTCCAACAGCATGTTTAGAAAGCTATTGGACTGTAGCTTAAGCTCTTTAAGACAAAATTGGTGTTAGAAAATAAAAGAACAAAATGACCTTGAACAATTTTAAAAATTCTATCCTGTTATAATGAATCCTATTCGTCTGTTCAATGGTGCCTTTTCTTTTTGTATTCTCACAGAATTTAGAGCTTACAACTTATACCTTTATCAAACCCATAAATAAACCAATACACTTATAAACAACTTAACTTATAGGTTCGTAATTTTCCAAACATTTTAACAGTTTATTCATAAAAAAAACTGTATTACCTTAAAGAACTTATAGATTCATAACAATTTAAGGTGAGCTAAACACTCACTATAGGATTACATGAGGTTCAGTAGCGTAAGAAATCCTTCGCTAACCGTTTGGTTAAATCCTAATATTTTATATTTACTTAATTACTGTGCATGTACTTTTTCTATTCAAAGAATGGCATATGCAGAATAAGATCATAATGCCTGTCTGTTAATCACCACGGTTCTACCAGTAGCTTGAAGAACTTCTTAGGTAAGTTATTCTTATAGATAAACTACGAACTAGAATTTCATCCCAAGAAGTTGAAGCTAAAGGTGGAAGTAATTCAAACACCGAATCATAATCTCTTTCTACATGCGAAGGATATGCCAGTAACTAAGAAAAAAATGGCATGATGGAATTAGACCTAGTAGTATCAATGCGAACATTGGAGCTTCACAGACCCCCAAATAAACATAAAGGAAATATCAAAAAGCACAGTCAATGAAAAGCCAAAAGTCATTACTCAAAAACTGAAGTCATACATTCAACTCTTACCGATGCCTCGAACAAAACTTGGTGACTGAATTTGAAATTAAACAGCAATCGGCTCGGCGAGCATCGACTCGCGAGGGGAGTGGCGAGACGTTGGCCCAAGTGTATGATAATGACGGCAGACAAATAATATGCCGAGATTAGCTTTGGCCGCAAGGTGAAGCTTCAACGAAGGTTTCTCGAGGCGTTTAGGGTGCTGAGTTGTGCAGTGGACAAAGAACTGTTGTTTATGGTGAAGGTGTGTTGCAGACGGAGCCGAAAAGGTGAGAGAACATGTGCAGTAGACAGAGAGAGGTGCAGCGGTGGGGAGAGAGATCAGTGAGCTCGAGAGGGAGACGGCTACGGGGTTCGGCCAGAGGAGTCTGTCTAGGGCTGCCTTGCGGGGTATTTGGTAATTTGACTTTTAAGTATGAAAAATATTATAATATTTTAATATTAATAATGATATTTATAAATTACTTTTTTACCGCACTTATAAATAAAATAACTTACAAATTCTTCTCTCCAATTAAAAAAAAACTCTTAAAAGTATACGTTGTTTGTATCAACTTCTAAGGAGATTCTACAATTTATTGAATGGTATTTAAAATTATTATTTTAATAAATTTTATAAATTAATAATTTTTTATTTAAATTATATTATTTTATAATTCATTAATATATAGTATAATAATAAAATAATAAAATCTTATTTATTTATTAATTATATAATTAATTTAAGATGTTTAATAATATTCAAAATATAAAATTTAACAAAATTTTAAAACTATTGATTTCGTATTTTTTAACGGACTCATATTTTTATTTTAATTATATTATCATTAAGTTTTATTAATTTTCATTTTACTCTTTAAAAAATTCTTATTTCTGGTTTCATTTTACTTTTTACCAACTCAATCCGCTTATTTTCTTTTTTTAATAAAATAAAATATATTTATTTATTTATATTATAAAAATAATAATAATAAATTTGTTTTTTTAATTTATAATTATAAATAAAAAATTACAGTTTTAAATTAATTTTTTTTTATAATAAATTTATTTTTTAATATCATTTTAAAAAATTATTAAAAATTATAATTTAAATAATTTATCAAATTAAATAAATATTTTTTTCCTCCTTTCAATATTATATATAATAAAATATAAACAAATTAAAAATTTAATTTAATGTACAACTATATCGACTAAATAAAATAATTATTATTACCATTAATTAATACATCATATTTCTAAATATGTTATAACTTCATAATTGACTGTACATTACCTGCTCAGAGCATAAAACATCCAAACAGAGCATAAAACATCCTGCGTCTGCTTCTTATGCTTCCATCTTCCAAAATATCATCTGCGTTTCTCAGCTTCTGCTTCTTCGATTCTCCATCTGCGTTATCTTCTGTCACCTCTCATTCTTTCAATCAATGTAAGTATTGATCTTTGCTTTGGATATTCTGGTTTAGGGTTTATGTTTTTGAAATGCATATAGGTTGTTTTTGAAATGCATAGGCTGAACCAGATGGGGCTTCTAGTTCTACATGAAATTCAATAAAATTAGGTTGTTTTTGGTTTAAAGACTTTGTCTGTCTTTTTCTGTTGTGTACATCTTGCTATACTTGCCAAGATGGAATTCTTTTCATCTGTTGTGATCTGAAAATAGAAAAAGAAAAGAATTAGATGTAAACTAATGGTGAAATTTCTGCATTTTAATGGGTGAAACAGCTCCTGAAATTTGGTGATTGTAATCATACTGGCGTTGTATTCTTTGATTGTTCCCAGATGGAAAAAATTTTCGTTCTTGATTTGGAAGGAATAGAAAGAACAATGGGCTGCCTACAGTAACTGACAACTGAAAATCGATAATAGGTGGCCTTCAATTTCCTGTGTATGTCCTCTACTGGCCTTAGATTAGAATTTTTTATTTTTTAAGTTCCTAGGAAGTCAATGGATCAGAACTTGGGCCAAATACAGATCTCTTAATGGCATGATTTTGGGTTGTTTTTGAAGGAGGTCACGATCATTGCTTGATGCAGGGAAGATTTTGATAATCAACCTATGTGGTTTTCTGGTGGCAGTAAGTCAAGAGAAACCGGAGTTTTCATATTGCATATAGGGAGGAAAGAATTATGATTAATAGGAGCATCTAAAGCAGAAAATAAGAGTTAGAGTAGAATGTAGAATTTAGCAGACAATTTGTAACAGCCCCGGAAATTTAAAATGAAATGTATATTAAAAATATCAAATGCGGAAGCGAAGTCAAAATTCGAATAACATCCCTTACACTAAAACCAAAAACGTGCTCACAAAATATAAAAGATCAAACTACCTAAAAGAGAAACTTGAAAGTAAAAGTTACGAATATGACTATGGAGTCTTTAGGCGTCTCCTTCGTCGTTCTCCTGCGGAACCGGCTCGGGAACGATGCCCTCTTGATCTGAAATGATTAAATAAGGAATGAGCTACACTAGCCCAGTAAAGACATTACGATATCTCACCGTCACGGAGGTAAAGGTGGGTAGAAAACACAAAAAGACCAATGGAGCATAATTTACAACAAATTCTTTTATCAATAATAAATCCTTCACCATCCACTTATCTCGATGGAATCCATAAAACAGTATACGAAAGCAATAACATTATCATCATCATGAAATCATATATGAACTGTATAACATAATACTTATCAAGTCTTTTGTAATTCAATCGTTACACAACATATTTTTCCTCTTTTACCAGCCCACTAGTATCCATGGGGATCCATAGGGGTCCAACTACCCGTTAACCCTTAACACTTGAAATCATATTTCAGGGCCGTCCCCATACCCCGTCCGGTATGGGCGCCAAAACTATAAACCTCATTACCCCGTCCGGTATGAGGGTGAAACGGGCCGTCTCCATACCCCGTCCGGTATGGGCGCCAAAACACATAAGATCTTCATACCCCGTCTGGTATGGGAGACCACAATCCCGGTAGGGTTCCCTACGGACCCGGTCCGTCCACGATCTCCCAGGATATCTAGTCAGGCTGACCCCATTATACAATTACCCATTTACATAATCTATCATTCTCTTTTCCCTCAGTCAGCATCATCAATCCACATACAAACAAGCAAAACAGTAATTTATGCCAAACAGACAAACATACAGCATCAATATCTCAGTCATTCAATCCATAATCGGTAAAACAGTAAAATATGCATACGAAACTATAAAATGAAAACATCAAACCTCATACTGCTTTTAAACTGTAAAACATGGCAAATAACAATTAACCGACAACCACACTAGACTCGGGCTCCATTAGCGACCTTAAGCAATTTCACACATTCGTTGATTCATGAAATACCGTTTTATCATTTATTGAACTTTAATACCATGATAGGAAATAGGGTGAGGGGTCTTTACACGTTTCGGGGTCCGAACACGGCTTCACAGTGCGCCTACAGGCTGTCCCTAATTTTCCCTAAATTTTTCCCGGGGAACTGAAACGCACTACTGGTACCTGCACGTGTTCCAAAAAATTCCAAATTAGGCCCAGGGCCCCTTTTTGGCCAATATCGCAATTCCGGCACGGCGGCTCCGCCGTGCTCCGGCGACGGCGTCGCCGCTTGCAGCGGCGATTCGCCTCGGTTTGGCCGTTTTCGGCCGAATTTGGCCACACTTGCATCGATCCTTGCGATTAAACAACTCTAGGGCCCTCGGGGGACCAAAAAATTACGGAAAACCAAAGCTTACCGGCGGCGGTGCTCTCGGGTGCGGCGGCTCTCCGGTGAAGTTCGTGTTTTGGTGATTCGGCTCCGATCAACCTGTAGAGAAAAGAATGGTGATTACGGTGATATAAAAATTGCATTAAACGGAGGCCGGGAAGGGCCTCATCGGAGGCAAAAATCGAGGAGGGGCGCGGTGGCGCTGCTGGGTTTCGGCCGTGTTTTCCGGCCGTTTGGCCGGGATTTTGGCTCCGATTTGGCCACAGGGGAAATCAGTGTGGAAAAACGAGTCGGGAGTATGAAATTTACCTCGATCGGCGGTCGGAAATCTCTCCGGTGCGGCGGCGGGTGGCGGCGGCCGGCTTCTGGTTCGTCTTCTCCGGCGAGGGCAGGCGGTTAGGGTTTTGTGGTCTGGTGTGGGGGTCTTATTTATACCCTTTTGCCTTTTGATTTCAGCCGTCCATTTTGATTTAATATAGGCCGTCCGTTTTTGATTGAATCTGGGCCGTCCATGCGATTGCATCTGGGCCGTCCGATCGCACGCTTGATCTGGGCCGTCCGATCGCACATACGCGGATCGCCAACGTGGCCCGTCCCGGATCGACGTGGTCTTGCCACGTGGCAGGTCCCGGTTGGCCGGGACTGCTGACTGGGTCTGCTGACGTGGTCTCTCCTTTTTTTTTTTTTTTTTTTTCTTCAATTTCCCGGGCGCTACACAATTATTATTGTCCAGAAAAACAAGAGGACTTAAAATCTAATCGCTGCAAGAAGAGAAGACCTGTTTGGATCGCGGAAAAGAATAAACTGACTAATGAAGGATGAATGGCTGTCGAAAAGAAGACTTCGGCGAGACGGTGAAGAAGAAGATCTGAAGACAAAACAGGTTTTAGAGAGAATAGACACAATCGGAGATATGTGCGTGCCTTTTTGGTAATTTCACGAGATAACACACACACACATATAGATATATATAGTCAAACAGTAGGGAAAGCAAAACTCGCTCTGCAAATCCATCTCCATCTTCAGTGCTCAGTAATCATGTTTACTCAGTATCACTTTGGCACATGAAAACCACTAATCGGAGATTTACCAACTAATCCATATTTCTGTTTGTTATTAGCAAGTTAAATTCTAGTTTACTGCTTTTAAGCAATTAAGCTTTCTGTTGATTGGGTATGTGCTTGTGCTTATTGAGTGCTGAAAACTGCCAACACTGTTTTGTATTAATATATTTTTGAACCAATTTCTCCTTATCCAGATGTTTGTTGCCTGTTCAGTTTAATTTCTCTTTAGTCTGGCTTATTCTATCACTTGATTGTTAGAAACTACTTTCAATGATAAATAATGTCATATCTACATTTGAACTACCTTGCTAAGTGATGATTTATTTGTCTGTCTTTTGATGTTTGGACTAGCTTGGTTCAACCTTGAATTTGTTGAAGGATAATTTTTGTTTCTAACTTAAGAAATTTTAATGTATGATATTTGAACAAAAGTTAGGCCAAAAAGACCTTAAAAATGTTGTCACTAGAGAAACTGGTAGGTTTCTTCCTTTTAGTGGCATTTTGTTTGTTCTAGTCAATCTTTGAGAGAACGCTTCTACTCTTTTTGTTGAGGAGATTTTATAATTTGCCTTGACAGTTTCTGAATGCAAAATTATCTTTGGAACAAGAAAACTCTATTTGTGGAATTCATTTAGAAATTCACACTTGACTTTATCTACAAAGGGATCGAAAGCATTTTGGAAAGGATTTTATAATCTCATTGTTAAATTGTGGTTACATTTGGAAAAATAAACAATTTTTTATGGAATTCATTTAGAAATTAACACTTAGTTTAATTGAAAATAATAAAAATTTAGAAGATGGTGGAAACTAATAATGTAGAGAATTTTAAATGGAATTAAAATAATCCATTTCATATTCCATCAATTTTGAGGTTGAAATATATTGTTTCAATTTCACTTCAATTATCAATTGCTGTTGTTTTTGGACAGGTTTTAATCCTCTCTTTGAATTTTCAAATTTCTTCTACGAAACTTGTTCATCTATTCCAAATATAGGTATACTCTTAGTGTCTTTCAAATAAATTTTACAAACAAATTTCATATGTATAGTTATATTTAAAATTTTTGCTTCCATGGAAGCAATCATGTCTTGGAAACCCTGGAATTGCCTAGTGGATTTCAAACTGAAGTTCTTGGCGATGTGATCCTATAAGAGTTGGATTTGGATATCATCTTGAACAAGTAATTTCTGTTTTCATATAACATTTCTGTGAATTTCTTATACTTGAGAAATAATATAGTCTTGATGGATGAAAGAATTATTTCTTGCATCTAATGAAGAAAGAGTTCCATATGCCCAAACAATTAAATTAACAGAATGAATATCTAGATTCAAACTCATCAGTTAATGGAAATTGCAGAGAGGATGCATGTTTTATTTTCTGTTTTATGTGTTAGTGGAATAAATTGCTTAAATGATCTTTGTTCTTTTCTTTTTCATTATGAAAGTGTTGTTTTATTGTTTATCAATGTTTTGGCAGAAACATAGATATGTTACCTCTTGCATAGAACTTTGACACTCATTCTGATTTTTGTGCAACATCATTCTTTTCATTCAATTTGCATCAAATGAAATGCATGGGATTTTGGCTGACAGCCATTTTTTTTATCAAATCAATGAATTTAAATAGTTGTGTCATTGGTGAAATCATGTCATTACCTAGTAGACCTCAATTTGTGATGGCCATCATGAACTCATTTAAACATACTGCTGACTTATTTGCGATAACTTTCTACAGGTCCTACATTGTTGATAGTATCTGCGATAAGACACTAAAAATTCAGAATATCACACTATGGATTTGGAGACTGAAGTGGTGCATAATGGCAAATGTCACTGTGGGAGAGTGAGATGGCGGGTCAGAGCACCAAGCAGTGTAATAGCTTGGAAATGCAACTGTTCTAATTGCGCCATGAGGGGCAATACCCACTTCATTGTCCCATCTAAAAAGTTCGAGCTATTGGGAGATTCAGAAGAGTACATTACGACCTACACTTTTGGTACTCACACTGCTAAGCATACATTCTGTAAGGTTTGTGGCATAACTTCCTTTTATATTCCACGATCAAATCCCGACGGAATTGCAGTTACGTACCGGTGTGTGGACCCAGGAACACTCAATCATGTTGAGATTAAGCATTATGATGGAATGAATTGGGAAAGCTCATACAATCAGACAGGGATTGCTTCATGTTCAAAGGGGGAGGTAATTCAGGAATAAAAAATTAGTTGATTTCCAACATAAGGTTGTGATCAGTTCAATTTAAAAAACTGGTCTATGTTGTAAAATTTTCGTAGATTTCTTTACTAGCAACATGCAAGAAATGATTTATAAGGCTTTACAAGATGCTTATTTTACTTCTAGTTCGCAATTATTGTTTGCAATATTTTACACGGTTTAAATATTAACATATTAATGCATCCTATGCTCAACCTGAAGCAGTTGAACTGAAGAACAAACGTGTGAGGAATTACGACAAGATGTTGAAAATGTATGGAAGGGATAGAACTGATGGGGCTGGTTGTAAGACAACATGTACCAGTAAAAGATAAAGGAAGAGGAGTGACAATGAACCTGTAATGAGTGTTGAGGAGATTGACCAACAACTTAGCCAAAATTCAGGTGATAATTTCAATTTTGATGGTGTGGATAACTGTGAACGATGCTCCAACGACCAAAACACCTACTTCGAAACCCCAACCTGAATCACAAAGTTTTTATAGGCAAAAGAAATCGAAATATTTGTCTGCTATTTTAGAGGAAGATTACCTAACTCAGCAAGTTGGAATGGTTGCTATTACAATCGAGAAATTGGTAACAAGCACACAAATTTGTGTTCCAGGAAGCCAGGTGTATGAAGAGGTTGCTCGTTTGGGTTTTAATCTACATCAAAAAATAAGAGCTTATATGCTTATTATAGTTAAACCAAACATGGCTAACGCTTTTATGGGTTGCCCTCCTAAACGAAGTAGTTTTTTCATAAGCAAGTTGTTTCATTCAAATCTAAACTTGTTAATTTGTAGTATTTAATTTTTTAATTTTTTATATTTTTAAATAATTAAAAATGAGAGTTGTTCTTGGTGAAGTGCAAGACTCTAATATAGATTTAGGAAATTTCGAAAAACTATGTTGCATATTTAATATATAATTAGGAAAGTAGATGAATTTTATTATTATGATGAATTAATTTGTTATTTTGAAATAATTAATTTATGTTGAATTTGTAATTTGAGTTGTTTAACGGGTGTTATATTTTTAAAATTTTTATATTTATGTGATTATATATTTTTTTAAAAAAGAAAATTGATCATGTACATATTAGTAAGAGAATAATTGAAATATATAAGTTGATTGAATATACATAATTATTTAAAAATTATAAAATTTGAAAATTATTTTTAATAAAATTTATTTATTTATTTTATTTAAGTTACATAAATAATAATAATAAATATTATATAATAACTAATTTTTATATTTTTTTTAATTTATAATCATAAATAAAAAATTATAATTTTAAAGTACTTTTTTATATGTACTATAAAAAAAATTAATTTTTTATTTTTTTATTTTTAAAAAAGGTATTAAAAATTATAATTTAAATAATTCTATAAGTTAAATTATTAAATTACAATTTAAATGATTTTTTTTTTTTAATTTAACATTATATACAATAAAGTAGAACATATTAATAATTTGATTAAATTTACAATCATACGATATTATCAATTTAAATAAAAATATCTGTCATTATCATACATTAATACATAATATTTCAAAACATTATATAATTTTACTATTACTATATTATATTATTAACATACAATACCATACATTAATAAACCGTTATATAAAATTCATCATAACAAAATGTTAGTGTTTGTTAATGCATATTTAAGACTCTTCTTTATCACATAAGATTGAAGACCCTTGTTGTTTCTATGTATACACACTTTCTCTTCTTAATAAATAAAAATATTTAAATATTTAGTAATATAATTATATACAAAAATATTTACAATTTTAGTAAAATATCTATTCACCTTAGTAAAAGATTGCATCTTTATTATTTAGTAGTCAAACCTGCCTAATATATACTTATTTTATATTCTTAAATCTTATATTACTTTTATGAGAACTTAGAAATATAACGTATATGTTATATGAGTCTGGGTACATATATGTATATATATATAAAACATATTGAATACCCTATTCGTATTGAATACAAACAAAATACGAATAGACTTTTTTTTAGTTAACTTTTTTAGTAAAAATTATTAGTTATTTCGTGTTTAAATTTAAATATAATATATAAGATTGTATAAACTATAAACTGAATCTATCATTAAATTAGAATCTTAATTTTAATATAAGTATTTTTTTTCTATTATATTTTTTAAGAGATGAGCAATTAAAAACTATAATTTAATATGATTTATTCATTAAAAAAATTGAATCGATTCATTAGGTTTATTAAGAAGTACATAAATTTGATGTTGAATAAATTTTTTGTTCCAAATTTTAGGGATTGAAATTGACAAAAAACACAATATAATTAGCTATTTTATTTTATTTATATATTAGATAACTTAATAAAAAATGTTTTAAATATTTAATCGTATATTATATACTTACATATTGTATATTAAAAATAAATTATATAAAATTTATTAAATTCTCAAGTGGTCACTAATTTTGGATCAATTGGTCACAAATACTCCCCCAAGTCCTTCCTACGGGTAAGGCAATAGGGAGCAGGATTTGTTAAACCGCTACTGTTTTCTTCACCGTTAAAAAGACGACCCGTCGGGTCCCAAGTCGGGTAATTGTTCGTCTCGTCCCTTTGGTGGATGCTCAAAGATCAGCAAGCAGCAGACAATCGAACCAGTAACAGTCTTCGATCTTGAATCTTCGATAAGATACACATTCGAATATTCGTTTTCGGAATTTCCTCAAGAAAGAAAGAAATCTCTTGCTCCAAGGGGTTTATGGAGGTCGTGGACGTGAAACTTGTCAGTCTTCTTCTTGTAGTCTTCAGTCTCCAGCTATGCCTCTCTTTCTCCGGTGAGTTCCCTTGAGTTCTCTCATGGATTTCTAGCGTTTCGATTTTTCGATTATGGATTCTCTGCCATCCTGACGCGCTTCCGATTCTTTATTTCTTTCTTTTTTTTTTTAAACGTTTTTGATTACGGGAAATTTTAAATTACCGTCAGTTTTGGCTGTTGAAATGAGGTGCAACTGCGAAGACGATAGTGTTTTTAATATAATGTCATTTTTTATTCCTCAAGACAGAGAAGAACAAGTTTCCGCCAACTCCTTTAGTAGAATAAGGTTCCATTCTCTGGTAAATCTTGAGCTGCTTTTTGCCAAATTGCAAAATGCTGGACCTAATTCACCTTTTCGCTTCATTGATCGTGTTCTTTCATTATTTCCTCCAAATTATCATTTTCATCTTTTTTCATGTTAGATGTTAGTTGAAATATAGGATCAGATAACATTCGCCAACTAGGTTCTGAATTACGTGCGACGACCATACCTCTCTTTTTAAAAAGAAAATTGAAGAAATTTGCTAGGACTATAATTTCGGTGCATGAAACATTACATTCTCTAAGGGTTGCTTGACCTTGATCAAAGTGCGGATGACCTCAATTATTGATTGTCAGTCGGGCTTTACACTTATTTATTCAGCATTTCCTGGCAGTCGCTGCTTTGTGATTCATGTGCCGGGTGACTTGTTGGGTTCATCAAAAAAATAATCGCATGGGGTTGTCAGGTTCCTGATTCTGGAGCTAATAATAGAATAAGAAATACAAGGAGACAGAGATGAAGTAGCAGGTAATGGAGAGAAGAAGCTGAGATAAATACAGAAGATAGAGAAGAAGGTTTGAGACAAGAGAATATGTTGAGAGAAATTAATAATTTGTTTGGCATTAAATTGAATGACCAGAAAATACAAGATATCAGCTTCTATATAGTTGACAGTAAACTACTTAAAAGCTAAGGCTAATTAACTAAAAACTAAATTTCACTAATCAAAACATTTTTTTAACCAATAACAAACCCAAAATGCACATATTTTGCTTAGGTCATTACTACCTAGGTCTTGACAGGTGTTCATTCAACATGTATAGGCCCTTGCCATTGTTGGCCACATTCTATATGAAGTAATTTGGTTGTCTTCTTCAAACTGTGTGGAAATAGGAACACCATTAGCAGTAGCTGTAATGTTTTATATCCATGCTATTATCTTTTTTCTTTTCCTTTTTTTCTCTTTGTGAGAAATCAATTTGGTTACCTTTATGCGAGTATTGCACAATGCTTTCCTCTTTTCCTTTAGTATTTAACAACTTTTCAATCATGTTTCTTACTTTTCCTCTTTTGCTTTAATATTTAACAACTTGTCAGTCATGTTTCTTACTTTTGCTTCTGCATGCTTGCAAAAAATTGGCTATCGAACTCTATTGTTGAAATGTTAATCCAATTTTTTGTTATCAAAACTTCAGGACAGATGAATTCAATTGAATCAGTTCCTGATCTCCGGAAGTTAATGTACATAGTTGCAGATGGATATCCTTGTGTACGACTCCTCAACCTATCTGGGGAGATTGGTTGTTCAAGTAAGATCCTTTTCAGGCTTTATTTATCATGCCAACTCTAGAGGTTGGGAAATTTTTTGGATGAATATTCTTGTGGATGGTTATTCACCTTACCATATTTATCTTCAGATCCTGGACGAGATAAGGTTGTGGCTCCAATCATAAGATTCAAGGATGCTAAGGAGCTGGCTCAATCTTCTACTATTTTAGTGTCAGAAGATGAAATTCAAGCTTTCTTCAGTAGGCATGTTGACATTTTTATTTCTAAAACTTGTATATTCTTGGTTTTTTCTCTGCTTTTGCAAGTAAAAAATAACCCATTTTTTCAGAATGCTGGCAACTATAGTACTAAACATGCATATGTGCATTATCATACCCCAGAAGTAATGTAGCATTGTATAAAATTATCATTTTCTCCTCTTCTTCTTCTTCCAAAAAAAAAAAAGTGGAAAGAATTTAACACTACTGGTTTTGAGCAGGATGATCTAATGTGTTCAAGGGGATATATGTTATAACAAGAATATAGGCCTTATCCCTCTTGCCATCTTATGGTTTATTTGGAAAGGAAGGAACAAAAGGACTTGCAAAAACACCAAGTCTTCTTTTGATAGGTTCAATGATTTATGGTTCTAAACCTTGGGCTTTTTCCACTAAGGGTCATCTTCTCTGTATCGATGAGGATTTTGGAGATTAGGTAGACTTTTTGGCTGATCTATAAAGTTTTGTATACGGGTTGCATCCTCTTGATGCTTATATACAATACACTAATTATTTTTATCCAAAAAGAAAAATTCTGATCATATACAAAGATGGCTACATTGAGCTATAGAGATATTTCATTTGCGTAATCCTCTAAAATTTTCTTTGCCAAACTGGCTGTTATATAGGTCTTTTCGAGAAAAAAGGAACGTAAGAATTTTTTCGGGCACTGCTCTTCTTTTCATAGCATGAGATATCATTGGTCCTAGATCTTCTGTGGTGGAGACACTCTTGGAACCTAGTTGATTTACTGCTCCAATGCTGCGTAATTTGGTTTTTTCACATGGCTGGTAGTCCCTTTAGGGTCCTGTTTATACTATTTCCTCTTTTACTAAACCCCACCCCCCCTCCCCCCCCCCCCCCCAAAAAAAAAAAAAAAAAAGTCATCAGCTAAATGCTTGATCTTGATTTTTTTATAATGGACATGCTGAGATTTTCCATTAGTATCAAACAAATTTCAATTTGGTGGGGCCTTGTTCTGCTAATTGAATATGTGAAAATTTTCTAGAATGGGATAGCTGGACTTGGTTTTAGGTTCATTTACTTTCGTCATTGAGAAATGACCAATCAGCAGATGTGTCTCGTGTGTTTATTCCTCCTTGCAGATCTAAGAATAGATGAATCTAATTTCAAAGAAGGATGTAGATAATCTCTCTTATGCTTTCTTTTATTGTGTATGTGTTCATTTTAAGACAAAAACAATGAATTTAATCATAAGGACTTCATCTCTGTATTTGTAAATTATTCTTGAAATCTTCTATTCACCTGTTAATGCTGACAATTCCAAATAGGAAAAGGAAATCGTAAGATTGGTTAAAATCACTTAATCATATATGTAAATGGCAAGATAGCAATTCAATTAATGCATCCTAATTTATACGGTATTATTATGAAATCGTCTAAAATAACCTATACCTAAGAGTGGTGAAAGTGATTGAAGTAAATTAACAAATATAAATTGAGTTCTGCAAACTTGGATATACATGTGGAGAATATTTGTGGTTGCCTGGCACCATAATTTCTGTATTTGCTTTTTTTTTTTTTTTCTTTTTCCATATGAGAAGGCTAGTTTTATATATTTGTGCTGGGTTCAGGTTCTATTTAGTATTTAGGTGACTTCGTTCTTTTCCTGAAGAAGTTGGTAACTTCTTTTCTATGTGATGTCAGCCATGTCTGGATGTTTATTTTCCTAGGTGTTTTCAACATTATTATTTGTAGAGGGTTTCCATAAAATAGTTACCAAATATTGGACCAAGTGCTGAAATTTATTTCTTGCACCTACTGGGACAGATGGTGCATTATGTCATTTATGGAGGAATTTGATGCACATATCCATCTGATACGATGCTGTTGGCATCCATGGATGAATCGCTTATCCTTACTGTAGTTGTTAGATATTGTTCTCTGCTAATATTTTTCTGCGAAAAGAGTGACAATTCTTTCAATAATCAAAATATTGGATGTCTGTTTCTATTTCAGAATGTTGAATGATTCAAGCTTCACTGAGAATATTGGTGGTGTCCTACTTGAATCAGGAACTGGAATCCAAAATAAGTTGAAAGGTAATTTATCTACTGATTACGAGTCTTTTCATATGAGTTTAAGCTGTGTTGACGAAGTTTCTTACCTAAAGAAAGTTAGGTGGTGGAAATAATTACGTTTTTGTTGCTAATACTAGTATTTTTTATCCCTAGGATTTTCTCCTGATCGGAAGTTCCCACAAGCTGAGTTTGCGCCCTACCAAAGCAATGGTTATGAATGGAACCCAATTGTATGTTATTAATATGTTGTTGGAGTGAGTTCCTTAGAGTTTTACATGATTGAACTTATGCCTGCCTTTTTGACAGTGAAGGCTTCTCTTATGTTGATTTGAAATGCTGATTAATGAGTCATTTCTCTTTGAAAGTAGTTCTTTGATTATACGATGTCCATTGACTTTCTTAGATGTTCATGAGCACTTAGTTAAATAGATTCTAAGAGAATTGGTGAAACTTGTTGATGTCAAACAAATTAAGGTTAATTTACCATCTTACTGGTTTGGGAAAAACCTAGATATCATACATAGAGTAGCTAGGTATCAAAAGCTTTAGACCCTCTTTTGATTCAGAAAAAATTGTTATTCTTGATGCAGTTAGTAATTGTGCCATTGTAGCGCCAGTGCTAAAGTCTTCAATAAATCTCCTATAGAAAGAGGCAAAGCAACAGAAGCTTCACTCTGCAGGTACAGTTTTGGGAGTTGGCCATTCCTGGATACCCTTAAACCTTTTCTGGATCAACTTTTACTCCCTTAAAAAAATGGCAAATTCCAAGAACGCAATACTTGTTGAATGCATATACTAGTTTTCTTGAATGTGCATTTTTCAAGTTAATATAGAGTTTTTCTTCTCCAAGTACTCAAGTTAATGTAGAGTTAGGAGATAAATACTTTTCATGAAGACTGACTCATCTCATCTCATGTTTCAATTGTTGGTTGCCTTCTTCTTATTAGATTCTCATTAGCACTGCACTACCATATCTTTCAAATGCAACCGATTTATTTTGGCAAATACAACCCTCATGGATCTAACATATTATACTAGTTAAAATATTCTTTCATTGAATGAGACCAATTAAGGAAGAAACCAGGATCTCCTCTTCCATCGAAATCAAGACTTTTGACTTTCACCTTCTTAGTGATATATATAACATTATCCCAACATGTCTCCTATCAACTGCGGTGGCTTGTGTAACTTTCAGGTTTTGAACAGGTGGGGCTACTTGTGCACATAAGTGTCTTAGTTCTTTGAAAATTGCATCAGTCGCCCTTTGTATTATTCTAAATCGTATTAATGTCTCTCTCATACGCATCTTGTCTAGCATTCAATTTCATTGTTGTTAAGTCAAAGTTTCTCGTACACTAGAGTCGGATTAGTTTGTTGAAGGCGATAACCTGTCGATGAAACTTGTATAGTCAAACTCAGAGGTTAGGAAAGTCAAAATAGTTTTGGTCAAGCGAGTTCCACAATTAACCAGATGTTCATGTGCCTCACGCTCCTGCTTCTAGTCACTGGACAATGGCAGGACTCTGTTAATCAACTCTGATAGTTGCAAAATTGATTGTCAGTGTCAGATGCAACTGAAAGATAAGATGAAGAGAGGCAGTAGCTAGGCAGTAGCTTGGAGAACATAGAGAGGCGAATGTTGCACTGTCTTGCAGAGTTTCTTGGTGGGGCTCTTGGAGGGTTGTTGATCAGGGGTCTTCTAATGCTAGTGATAGGTACAGTGTCACTCAATGCCCAATTGTGAGTTGTGAACACGCTGGCGGTTGGTAGAGGTTTAAAGTTTTTTGGCCTTTTATTTTTTGTGTTTTTTTGGTCAAACGAGCTTGGCTGTTTGAATGTGGAGTTTTGAGATTTTGGATGTGGTACTCTTTTATATCGAATACTGACTGATGTAGGAAAAATTAGAATTGATGTGTTTACTTGGGGATTTGTTGAAAACTTAGATATCACAATTAGGGTTCTTAGGTATTATTTTTAAGATTTGATTAAGGGACAAAATCAAGTAATGATAAAAGTCTCAACATACTTTATTGAATAAGTGAATGATGATCTTAAAAAAGAGAATTTTTTTTTGAAATATTTTAAAAGCCATTCTAGGAGGGACTTCAGATTTCCAAATTTGCTTATACGGAGCAGATATGTTGTGGCTGTTGTCCTTCTTAGTCAGACAGCCGTATAAAATTTCACCGAGAAGCCTTTCTTCTCATCAGGCTTTCATATTCTTTTATCATTTTCTGTTTTCAAATTTGTTTCTATCAGAGACAAAAGCAGGCTGCTGTACTCATCAATTTCCCAGTCATGCAATCTTCTCTTCACCTTCACATCCCACACCCTATCCTCCCCCATAAACTCACACATCTCCTCCACCTTAGCATCCTTATTGCAAGCAATGTCAAAAATTCTTTTGAATCTGTTTTTTAAGCTGAAGTTCTCCATCCATTTATCATGCCATAATCTAGCCCCATCACCCCTACCAACTTTTCAACCCAGACAGCCCTTGATGTATTGGCTTTCATCCCTAATCTTCTTCCAAAGGCTCATCCCGTGAGCCATAAATTTACCCCTTCTTCCACTCTCCCTCTCCTAATCTCCCCATCTAGCACGAACAACCTTCCACCACATTTTCCCCTTCACCCCAAGAGATCTCCACAACCATTTCCCATGGAAAGCCAGATTTAACTCCACAATAGACTTCAAGCCGAGGCCTCCCTCTCAAACCAGTTTTTTAACCTCCTCCCACCTAATCAAATGATACTTTTTGTTACCATCCTCATCACCCTAAAAGAATCTACATTGAATGTTTTCAAGTCTTCTAGCTATGCTGGCCGGAATTGTTAAGATGGATATGTAGTAGATTGTTAAGTTAACAAGTGTGCTCTTAATCAAAGTGAGTCTTCCCGCTTTAGAAAGAAAATTCTTCTTCAACCCTGATAACCTCCTAATCAAAGTGAGTCTTCCTGCTTTAGAAAGGAAATTCTTCTTCAACCCTGATAACCTCCTGCCAAACATGTCAATAATGGGTTCTCATATTCTAACATCTTTATATTTTTCCCCAAGTGGGGGACCAACGTACTTGATAGGCAAATTAGTGACTTTGCGATCCAAAATCCTAGCC